GCTGAAAGGAAGCTGTCTTTGAACTGATGCCCCTTTGCTGTAAGGGTGAGTTCTTTGGAATCATACACATGGACTCCATGTGTATTTTCATAGTAAGTTCTAGTGGTCTCTGCAATTTTTTAAACTTTTTTTGAACTCATTTTAGACACATCAATGTTAAAAAAAAAAACACTGGGCTAGTTGCACTGTATTTTAACCACGCCTGCCCAACGTGATTCCATTAATGTTGACACTGTGCACCACCGTAGGGAAATTAATGATAATAGTGCAATTGACAAAGCCTGGAAATTAGCAAGTTTCCACATTAAATACTTGTTTCTGTTTCCTTGGTTCTTGTACTCATGTCTTTTTCGTGAATACCCAGATCTAGTTGGTAGTTCTTATTAGCCTTTGGCCTGTAGCTCTTCCTAGCTCCTCCCTTTTCTTTTATGGCTGTGCCACTTCTGAAGAACATCAAACTTCTCTTGGTTTGGATTTGTGGCCACTCTTTCATGACTGGCTTTTGGGGTAATGACTTTGGGGCAAGACTACCTTCCATATGACAGCCTTCCTTTTGTGGCACATGACAAAACAGCATTCCTGGTGTCGGTACAGCACAGCAGTGTGAAGTTGACCTTGACCAATTGGCACTTTCTTGCACTATTATTAGCCAATTGGTCAAGGTCGTTTCTCCCTTGTATTCTTAAACCCTGACAGCTAATTACTCTCTGATCTCCATGACAGGGTTGAGGTAATAGATCATGAAGAGCAGAACCAGGGGACACTATCATTTTTGTAAGGTTCCCCTTGAATACCCAGAAGCTCCAACAGAGTAGCCACTTGGATCAGCCAGGTATTTTATGACAGGATAAGAACTTAGATGTCAGGTCTCAGGACTGCAAACATGAATGGTGTCCACCATTCTGAGCTCTGCTCAACCCTTGGAACCCACAGAATTCCTGGTTATTAGAATATCAAAGCTAACTGGACTGCTTGAACAGTCAGCTAATCACCAGTCAGAACTTCAAGTCAGAGGGAAGCCACAGAGAAGGACATGGACAGGAGCTGCTGGCTCTGGAGATCACATGAACCCTGTTAGTGTTTCCAAAATGAAAGTTCTTCAGGAATGTTCCACAGAACACACAGGGAGTAACAACAAAAAAACCTACTTGAGATTTTTAACAGAAAAAGGAGATTTGTTGATTAATAATTCATGAGTTCCCATTGAACATGCATGACAGAAACAGTGCTATTCAATAGAGAATACAGTCATCTGTCACTGTTTTATTTGACATTTACACTTTTTTTTTGCCCGATACTGCAAAACTTTCTTGGATGGCATGCAAAAATTATATAAATGAAAAAAAGAAAACCAGCGTAGGAACCCTTTATTTCTTCTGTGATGGGTGCACTCACAGCTACACAGGTACATGTTCATTCACCAGCATGGTACTTCATATAATTATTAGCCACCAGACAAGCAAATATGAGGCCCTGTTGAGAAGATAGATATCAGTGTCCAAATGGCCTGGTGGAGGGATGGTGTGACTAAAAAGATGATGGATGGGAGGGGAGGGGAGGAGGGAGGGCGGTGTGCGAATGTACAGAATGAGGAAGTGAGTCAAATCGAGGGACTAGCAACTCATGGCTGGCGAGAAGAAAACTGGCCCCCAAATGCATTGCTGTCTCAGATAAGAGATAAATATTTATAAATGGCATCACAGGAGTCCTGCTAGTGGGAATACCAGCGTTTTGTAGAGCAAATTTGAGTTAGGAGCACCTTACCACTTTGTGCTGGTGAGAGGCTCTCAACAAGCTTTCTGCTCCGCGGGTTAGTTATTATTTATAAAAATCACAGAACCAGCTGATACATTCATAAGCTAATTATTGAAGCAGCTGGGTACACATGGTGCAATATGGCCAAGGCTGTGAAGTATCACAGATTTCTTGGGGCCTGCTGTGGTGGGGGTGCGCTGTTGAAGGCTCCATCCCTTAATCTGATCAGCCAAGCAAACACTTTGTGGGGAAACTAGATTAATAACCCTCTAAACACCATGAATGTGCTTCCTCTTCAGAACTGGGTTCCCTTAAAGATGCCATTAGCTTAGCCCATCAGGGATTTGAGGAAGTTCTCTGCTGTCCTAAGAACAGGGCCTTGTTGACGACTGCCCTGTGCCAGAAATTAATTTGGTTTGCTTATGTCTGCACACATGATCACATTTGTGTCTAATCCACTCCCTAATAGCTTCAAGGTCAAGACCTTGCATGTCAGTGGGCAAATTGAGCACTACACTTCTTAAAGACGATGGCAAACAGCACTGGGTCCATGACGAGCCTATATAGTGTTGTTCTAAGTGGTTGTAATGAGTGCAGATTATAACAGCGCATATAAATCAAATGTGGCAGTGAATGTCGTGCGAGACATTCCAAGTGTCATAAGTGGAGATACCACTCAGCTGTCACCTGTCTGCTTTCAAGCTGCGACTTCCCACAATGCAATTCATCCCTCAAGCAGAACAGCAGGTGCTGTCTTCCTTAAGGTCTGGCTATCTCAGAACTTCATCTTTTAACAGATGTAGGTTTTTGTTTTTATTTTCCATTCAGTGCTTGGTCTCCATGCTATTGCCTCCCCTGGGAGATGTTAAACATACCTGTTTGAAACATTTGAAAGAGTTCACTAGAGACTTATTCAGATCTGTGAAAAGACACAGAAATGGGAGCTTAATTTTTCCACAGATGGTTTATTTTCCATCTCAAGAATTCCTTCCTTTGTATAAAGAAACCCATGAGAAAACAGTTGGGGACCAGGAGATTTTTATTAAAATATAATTTATTTTCTCGTAGTGATAAAAATTTATTTTCATTTTTCTTGTGCATGGCACTTGAAAATTAACCATTACCTGTCTCTCAAATTGGGGGAGGGACTGGAAAAACGCTTGGGAAAACATTTCCAAGCAAATGATAAGATACCTTCTTTTCATTCTTCCTAGCCCTCTAACTCTCCCAAGCTCCCAGTTTATTGCAAGAAAAGATCAGGTCTGCGCAAATGTGGCCTCTCACTTGTAAAAACAAGGCAGTGTTGTGTTACAGATTAGTTTATAAATCCCCGGTGGCTTCACAGTTCAGTGCCTACAGCTGCTGCACAAGGGCCTGGGTTTTTGTCTCTTCGTGGTGCTGCAGCCGGCAGTTGAAGGGGAAAATGGAATGATCAGGTTATTAACATGGAGGCCGTGAGGAGGAGGCTGCACAATGAGAACAGCTGGTGTTGCTGTCTTGGCTGATGCAGCGGAGATAATCAAATCTTGCCTTTTTTTGGGGAAAGGCAGAAGACACAGTGGAGAGTTAGACAAACAACAGCTTATGATATTATATGGGCTTTTTATGATGCGTGTCAGGAGCTTTCGTTGGCTTGCAAGTGATGCTAGAGAATATGTTGAGGTTTGGGATTTGTTTCTCACAAAGTCAGTTGTGTTTATGCACCTTTTAAGAATAAAATTCTACCCTTTTGCAAGAGATGTAATGTGGGACAGTTCTTGTTTTTAAAATTAGCAACGTAGCTTGGAAATGATGGGTTAGAAAGCTACTGGGTAAAATATTTTGACATGAGTCAGTGAGCGATGTTGACAGCCTCTGTATTATTTTCATATAAGCCATCATTTGCATTGCATTTTCTTTCTCGTGCAGTTGCAAGAGAGAGAGAACATCCGATGGCAGAGTTGGGACAAGACCTTTGCAGGTGCAGTCTGGTGAACTGCTTACCTTCCTGCAGGTGTGGCTGTGGAGGGACCGCAACAGTTAAGGAGGCATTGAGCCCAAGGCAGTACTCATAGATGAAGCAAATATGCCTTTGTTTTTTATTCTAGCTAAGGCTGTTGTTTCTGTTTGCAGGGTTACTAATGATGAGAAGGATATTTCCTCCCTAGAGAACTCAGTGCTATTGACACCAAGACATTATTTTTCCTTTCTTGTTTTTTTTTTATTTTCTTAATTTGCCATCTCATAATATATGTGTATCTGTCTTTCCTCTCTTTAGGCTAAAACATTAACCAGTTGGGTAATTTCTAAAAAATTATGGCTGAAAAATATAAATTCCTTCTGTAGAGATGTGAGAAACTATAATCTCATTTGTGCATCTAGAAGATACTGTCGTAGTGTTTATTAAGAAACGCATCGATGGGGCTGGAGAGATGACTCAGTAGTTAAGAGCACCAGCTGCTCTTCAAGGGGACCCAGGTTCAATTCCCAACACCCACATGGAAACTCACAACTGTCTGTAACTCTAACTCCAGGGCATCTGACTTCCTCACACAGACATATATGCAGAGAAAACACCAATGCACATAAAATAAAACATAAAAATCTAAAAAGAAAAGAAACCCATTGAGAGCTGCATGGCAATGGCACATGACTTTAATCCCAGCTCCTGGGAAGGAAAGGCAGGAAACTCTCTTGAGTTCAAGGTCAACCTGGTCTACAGAGCAAGTTCCAGGACAGCCAGGGCTGTGCAGAAAAAAAAAAAACCTGTATCTGAATAAAGAAGGTAGAAACACATTCTATAGGAATGTGTTAAAATTTTTAATAGGAATAAAGATTCTTGGGACTGGGAGTGTAGACTCATTAGTAGACTGCTTGTCTAGCATGCAGGAAATCCTGAGTTCCTCACTCTGGTTCTCCATACCATAAACAGGCATTGTGGCAAAAGCCTGTGAGCCCAGTACTTGGGAGTCATAGGCAAAGGTTCTGGAGTTGAAGGTCATCCTTGGCTACCCAGTGAATTTGAGGCCAGACTGGGCTTATCTCAAAAAGGTAAAAAATAAAAACAGAAAGTGTAAAGACCCGAGAGCATTGGCATAACTATCCACATGGGTAAGAGCTGGACCATTTCAGTCACTACTACTGTTGGTGGGAATAATTCTGACACAAAAACCATGGTTTGGGGTATGGCAGGTGACTTGAAGTCCAGGCCCACACAGCTGCTCCGCACCCAGCAGCCCTAATTCATACGATCTCCTCCTCTCTAGGGCTGGCTTTGTGAACTGCTTCGCTGGAAGGAGAACCCAAGCCCAGAAAACCGCACCCTCTGGGAGAATCTCTGCACCATTCGCCGCTTCCTGAATCTTCCCCAGCATGAGAGGGATGTGATCTATGAGGAAGAATCGCGACATCACCACAGTGAGCGCATGCAGCATGTGGCCCAGCTCCCGCCTGAGCCTGTGCAGGTCAGTGTCTTCCCAGCAGGCCTTTCTTTCTGCTGACAGCAGCTGCCCAGGGCCAGGGAGTACACTGCCTCCTATGAAACCCGTCATCACAAGTACTGTGTATGTGCTTACACCAAAGAAAAATAACCAGTGAATCCAGTGCCAGTGGCAGAGGCTCTCCTGACAGCATATGTTTTCAGGTTGTGAGCACAGATCACTCAGATACTAAATGCCATCTCCATCAGGTTTTCATTGTGTGTGTGTGTGTTTTTTAAACTTTTATTTATTTGTGTATGTGTGTATGTGTGTACATACACAACATAGCATAGTGGAGCTCAAAGGACAACTTGTGGTTATCGGTTCTTGCCTTCTACTGTTGTGGGTCTTGGGGATCCAACTCAGGTCATTAGGTTTGGTATCAAACGCCTTTACCCTCCAAGTCACCAGCCTATCCGTTTGCTTTCTAAAGAAAAATTGAAGTAAATTTTGATCCAAAACTCTTCAGGTAGTATTTGATGGAAATCAAAGAAATAGCCTCCTGACCCAAGGAATACCTTTAAATTCATCTGAAGCTCTGGGAGAAATCATAAGAGAATCTCAGAATTTTAAGTCATACTTTGGCCATCTCCAAATTCTGCCTTATTTGGGTAGCATGCTCTGTTGGCTTAATTTTCCAATCGGCATTGAGACAAATATTTCTTTCTGAAGTAGCTGAGTTTACTGTCTGCTTCTAAATCTAAAATCAGTTACTTTCAAGAGCTGCTAACCCTTGTATTGGTAGAGTTTTGCCCATAAATTGGTTTGGCTCTGTGAGTCTTGATAGCTGCAAATGGGACCTTCAAAGACCTCTCTCTGACTTAGCTTCTATATAGACAAGAAAAGCTGAGGCAAGAAAGCATGTGTGTGCACAGGCATGTGAAGAATAGAATAGAAGATAATAATGAGGGAAGGGTGATGAGGTACAGTTTATGTCACAGATGTACTAGAAGAGATGATAAAGGATGTTTCCTTTCTTTCTGCTCCACTCTTGTATGCCTATGGAGTAGCCAGAAGTGAAGGGGCCCATCCAACTACATTTTATCAAATACTGGCATCTCAGCTGAAGATCTCATGCTTTGATTTGTCAGTTTCTCTGGTCAATGTCATTCTGTGACCCGTGAGTTCATTGAGGCAGTGTTCTTGGTGGACCCAGAGCTGTGGGCAGGAGGGTCCATGTTTAGTCAACAGCGGAGTCACTCATTGTGGGAGGCTGAGCCACAAGGCACATCCTCCTTTCTTCCCATCTTGATCGTTTCCTGGCCAGAGCTTCATCCAAACACCAGAGGAACCTCCCTGCAGATAATTAGACCAGTATAGTGAGTCACACAGAGCAGTGGCTTTCAGACTTTTAATTTCTTCAAATTAAAGAGGTCCCAGTATAGTTTACCAACCCCTTATTTTAGAAATAAGTCGATTTGAATACTTCCAGAGAAGCTCCTGGTCATTTGTAGTATTATTTCATAATGTTCAGTGATGTGGAATACCGAGTGTATCCATGAAATAGTGTCAGAGAAAAGATCACACCAACTGTAGAAATTCAACCCCATGAAAAAATCCACTATCAATCACCCTTCCTTTTCTCATCTTGCTATAAACTGGTCCAGACTTCTGTTTTGAGCCAATAGAACAGCAAAGAATATGTCAGAATCCAGTCACTTTGCATAAGCTTTTATTCAAGGTCCATCTTAATCCTGTACAATAGAAGCATTTTGTTTTTCAAGTTTTATTTCTGATAGTAGTGTCAGGTGGAGCCATTTCTACAGTGAGAAAAGTGGAAACTCACAGGTTTTTGTTTTTGCTTTGTTGTTGTTTGTTTTGGCCTTTGGAGGCGAGGTTTCCCTATGTAGCCCAAGTCAACCTCAAATTTGAGATTCTCCTGCCTCAGCTTCTCAGGTTCTGGAAATATATCATGTCTAAAAACAGAAATCTGAAATAACACTGTGAAGACCCATTATCTGTTGTAGTGAAGGTACCCTTCATTTTGATAATAGCTCCCATACCATACTTGTCTAGATTCCTGTGTAGAAATACCATTTGTGTGGCCCAGGGTTTAGGTAGATGAGAGAATATCCAGTTTACTGTTCAGACAGGTAGTTGGTCCAGTTGTTCTCTTGTGTTTGGTGTGTCTGAACTAGAGTGTGCTGACAGTAGTTAATGGGTAAGCAAAATCAACCTTTGCAGGTTTCAGCGCACTGTCCCAATTTATGTTGACTTCCATTGCTACTAAGACAATTCACTTCCTGTATGCAGTGAAGTTTATTCATATCATACAGCTCTTAGCTAAGGGATTTACATATGGTAACATCTTCCACACTGAATTTGCCCCACAAACTGGTGATCTTGATCCTACCACTGCTGTAAAACCTTGTGCCTCACAGTGAATGACACTGCTTTTCTGAATGTATGTTTGTCAGAGAGATACAGAGATATGAATTAGTTATTTATTGCAATAAATATATAAAACGTGAGGAAAAATCACTGGAAATAGCTGGTTATACTCTTAAAACTGGAGAATGCAGATGACACAGCCTCTGTGCTTGGTAGAGGGTGTTTTAAGCCCCTAAGACAATGTCTGTAGCTGAGTAGGTGCCAGACCACTGGACTTAAGTAAGGGTTGAGATTTAACTTGTGCTCTTCTGCCAGCCACAACCTTTAAAAAGATAGGTATGCTTACATGTTTTAGGAATTTAAAAATTCATCTATAAGCTTATCATTGGTTTAGCAATGCTGGATTTTGTCTAACTGGGTAGGAAATGTGCCATCACTAAATAATTAAGGATGAATGAAATTAGTGATGGTTAGGGGCTTCTCATATATACAGCATAATAAAATACAGAGAGGTCTTCTCTCTGTGGTCATGGAAGAGTACCATTTAATTTCATTAGATAATTGGGTATACTATTCTCCAGTTTTTCTTCAATGATGAAGATCAGAGACAGTGATCTTTGGGTATAATGACTTACTGTAAGACTGGTGTCTTGACCTGGGTTCTGGATATTTGTTATGTCTCTTTACCACAGTTAGGTCACCTGACACTGGTGGTCTCATCTCTACATCTGAAGTTTCTGCACCAAAGCCATGGTGCCTTTAATTAGGGCTTAATTTTTCTACATGCCACTTACTTTTATTAGTTCTTTGAGAATGTCACACAGCATGGTTTGATCATCTTGACTTCAGCTTTTGCTTGTTGGCTAATAAGTGTGTCTTTGATGGAATTTCCCATAAGAAATGAATTAAGGTTACAGCTGAGACTTCACTGAGCTTAGGGACATGTAAGAATGTCGTTAGTCCCAGACTTGGTCATAGTGGAAGAATGACATGCCTTCTCCTTGGAACTATTCTTTCCCAGGGAATATGTAGTTTTCAGGTCATGTTGAGTAATCTGCCCTTCCTGAGTTTCTTTTGGGATTTCTAAGTATCTTTGGAAACCCCAGTTATTAATCCCACTGAGCAGAAACTGGCTTTAGCTCTAGACACACTTTGTAAAACCATACATACCCTATGTCCACATTAAGAGGTGTATTGTCCCAAGGGAAGTGAACACTGGATCTTGAGAAGCATAAAAATCCTAGGTTCACAATAGAGTGGGGTCCTCTGCAGAGATTCAGCATATAAAGACAGTATGCATATCTGTGGCATTGAAATTTATGTAGAGGACAGGTGTTGTAGAAAAAAGACTCATAGGTGAGTTGATAATAGGGAGAAGCGCTGAGAAATACAAACCTATATAATGCCTTTAGTTCAAATATAGATACCACAGAGAAGGTCAAGAGAGGTGAGACAAGAGGCCTGGAGAGGTGGCTCATCAGTTAAGAGCACTTGTTCTTAGAGAGACTCAGGGTCAATTCCCAGCATCCACATAGTTGTTCATAGTGGCCATGACTGCAGTTCCAGGGTATCCTGGCCCTCTTCTGTCCTCCATGGGCACCAGACACACACATGGAACACAGACATATATGGAAATAAATACTTACACACATAAAATACAGTAAATAAATCAGAGGGCAGGTCGCATGACAAGGCGTACCACGCCAAACTAAAACATCCTGTGACAATGGCAAGCAATAAAATAAATTCCATTTTTCACTCCAGCAAGTTGGGTCAAAGTTGTTTCTTGTGGATATAGTGCTTTCTTCCATGTGGTTATTATGACCTGAGGCCCTAGAGCAGTGATTCTCAACCTTTCTAATGCTGTGATCCTTTAATACAGTAAGACTATTTTTTGTCATTAATTCATGATGGCATCTTTGCTATTATGAATCATAATGTAAATACCTGTGTTTTCTAATGGTCATAGGCGACCCCTGTGACAGGGTCCTTTAACCCCCAAAGGTGTTGAGACTCACAGGTTGAGAACCACTTTCCTAGTGCAAATGGATATCCTCAGCTTAGAATAAAATCTAGTCATATTCAGATATTCATTTGTATCAGCTCCGAGTTACAGTTGGAAAAACTGGAGTAGTCACTCAGCTGGTGAGCCTGGCATCCATGCTTGCCTCTCAGCACACTTGGCTCTGAAGAAGAAAGGACATTGTTCATTCTGTGAATGGCCCCTGAACAGGGTTGATTGAGGAGCATCCACCAAATAGTCTGTGTTGGTGGAGGCTGTTTGTTAATGCTCTATTGTGTTCCCACTAGAATGTTTCCATGGGTTGTTTTCTAAATTCAGGAATTAGGAGCTAGCTGCTATATGGTTTTAAATTACATGTTTTCAAAAATTATCTGCTGTACATTGACGGAGTTAGAACACGAGGCCTGGTATTGGTGGCCATGCACCGTCACTGTGCCTTTGCCCATCTGGACTGAGGCTCAGGGAGTTCTTAGCATCTTCTAAGCCACAGCTTTCCTGCTGCTGGTAGCCACCAAAGACTTGCAACCAGGGCAATGTTGTCCCCCATGGGACATTTGATAGTGTCTGGAAACATTTTTGATTGTTACAATTTGAAAATGCAACTAGAGTCTAAGTGAACTCTGCCAAACAC